ACATTGTATACTTCTGATTCAGGATCCTGTAGGCCTTTTACATTGTATACTTCTGATTCAGGATCCTGTAGGCCTTTTACATTGTATATTTCTGATTTAAGATCGTTCAGGCCTTTTACATATTCAAGCAGTAAAATGAAACACACGTTTAGAAAAATTATCCTAAAATCGGATGCATAAATAAATGACATGGTTTTGTGTAAAATGAGTAACACAGAAATATACTCATAAAATAAGGACACAGAAGGCAACCAAGGTAAGGAGGTGTACCACAGGCCTCCCACTCATATTTCAGAGGACCTGGAAATCTAAGAGCCAAAAGTCCGGCGAACAAATCTCGGTCTTAGTTCTGTTGCAGTTTCGATGAAATTGTTTTGAAATTATTCAAGTCCTTCATAGAGTATAGCAAACAATGAGAACAGAGGTGCAGCCGCAGAGGGGCACAGCAAGACTGAATGCCACAGGGCTCCACGAGTTTGATTGTAAGGGTTCCAAACGAAACGACAATTTCTTTAAGCTGTTGTGGGTGTGTGCTCGCGAGTGAAGGGTTGCAGGTCCCCTGAAGTTGTGAGCTACCCGATGTGTGTTCTGGAGACTGACTTCTTTTTCTCCAAGGAAAAAGTACTCTTCACTGCTTAGCAAAGAGCAGCCAACTGGGTTGCATTTGAAGAGTCGTTCACCATCAAAATTACCAAGGACTCCTTGGCAAAGTGACTGATTAGTGTTCCAAGCCGGGCTCAAGTCCTTGCTCAGTCAGGAACCAAGCCCAAGTATTCAAGGCCAAGCCCGGCAATTCTATTTCTCTGCATGTGTTTTCCACCAATGGGATCGGCCCTCTGTGGAATTTGCATTTTGGGATCACTTTTCCACGTTGTGAAAGCCACCAAAAATGGCGCCTTTCTCGGTTTATTGTCTTCTTTAATATAAGCGACGCTTTTAGAAAGCCAATTGCTAGCCTGTCAGGGCATCTTTGCTGTGACGGCTTGCGCAGCTCTGGGGCTGTTTCAAACCGCTGGTCCACAGCCATACACGCCCACTCTGCTGCGTGCATCCTGCCGTGAAGTGACCTCCGGGTGGAATAAGGCATTTTCCCCCTCCTTTTAAGTGGCCCCGTTTCTTCTCCTGTAGAAGGAGCTGATGAGGAAAACAGCAAGAGGATGAAGAGAGGAGATGGAGGAAGAAGGATGGAGGGGGAAAAAGGAGGAGGAAAAAGTGAACTTTCTAATATTTTGAGTCGATATTGACTGACCGACAGAGCTTAAGGCAGCATGAATTTAGTAGTTGCATCCCCAAGACCGGCCAAAGGAGTTCTCTGGCACGGCAAGGTGTGCCGGAAGCATGCGCAGACTCCCACCTTTCCTCCACCCCCAGGAGGTGCCTCCTTAGCCACACAGCTGTTGTCAAGAGCCTACAGCTAGCTGCCTATGCTGCCATGGCTGTGCGGGCATCAGTTTAGTTCTCATTGCACCATTAGTTCCAGGCGCGTCTGCTCCAGGATTTCTCCCTGCCCCTGTGGCGCATCCATCTCCATCTTGTTCACGTTTTTATTACTCTCGCCTAAATGTTAGCGAGCCTTATCAAGTACAGCAAGCATCTGGGCACGGTGCCAGAAGGCCGGCAGGCCCTCGACCCCACTCCTTCTGGTTTGAGGCTCCACTTATAGCTTTAATTCCCAGTCCCTGTAATTCAGGACCACAAAGGGCCATGCAGAAACGGCTCACTTACTTCCCAAAGGCAGCTGGCCAGTAGCCACTCAGTTACTGAGTTGAGTGCAGGACCCCTGCCTCTCTTGGGAGCTAAACAAAGCCCCTGACTTTCTCTCTGCGTCTTTTTGCACACTCCAGGGCTTGTGACAGGGAATGCTGTTTCCATTGGCCAGAGGCCCTGGCAGGGCTCCCCAAGGCAATTTTCCAGCCCTACATTCAGTAGAGAACCTGAAAGACTGCTGTTGCAATTGAGCCCTGCTGGGCTGGGGGAGGGAGGCTCCGAGTCTTCCAGTAAGCGGCTCTCAAACCTCTGGAGTGCACAGATCCTCTGAAAGGGGAAAGAAAGAAGACACAATTAAGAACAGAATTCCACACGCCAGAAATCCCATTAGGTGCAAATCTCCTCTACTTGTAGATTAGTATTGCGAAAGGGCTCTGTCTGTAAAGTAAGTCCCATTCTGAACACATTTGTCACCAGGCACAGTTCAGTATTTTTAGAAGGGCCCTGCAAGGAGTCCTAATAAGATCAGCATGCCTTCCCTACTCAGCACGTCTAACAAACACGCCTCCTCCTGGTGCCGACAGGATCTCACATAAAATGTGGCCTCTGGCAGCTTCTTCAGTCCTGCCAATGGTCTGCTGAGCCTGGTAGGACTCCTTCAGGTTCTCAGGTGAATGGAGAAGTAAGTCCCAGACTTCAGTCACAACTCTAAGCTGACCCACAGACATGGCTGGGGGCAGGTTAGAAAGAGATCAACTTCAGCTCCCTGCCTAAAAGTTCTGGCTACTAACTCCCAGGAATCAGGAATCATTTCCATTATGCAAAGACACTTGTGAAAGAAGGTCAGGTTTGCAAAATAACATTTGGGAATCTTTGTAATGAATTACAATCAGCCTGAGTCCGGAGATTCTGCATCTGTGGCTTCAGCTATGGACAGTTGTCTGAAAATATTCCGAAAAATAAATGTACCAAACACATACAAGCTTTTCATTTCTTGGCATCATTCCCTGACCAGCACAGTAGAGCAACTATCTGCAGAGAGTTTACATTAGGTCTTTTCAGTAATAGAGCCATGGTTAAAGCACACAGGATTGTGTACACGGGCTATATACAAATATTATACCATGCTGTAGCCGGTACTAGACATTGGTAGAGTCTTTGATGCTTTGTCTAAGCTCTGATCTCCTGATATTTGCTATTGCCCCCCTTCTATTTTCTTTACCTATAAGTTTCTTGCCATGGGAAAAAAATTCTTTTTCAAAAAAAAATGTGTCTGATCAAATAAATGCATTACTGTTTCTCTATATTGGTTGTGGATTTTGAATCATAAAAAAGATATCCCCTCTCTCACATTATAGGATAGAGATGAATTTCAAAGGGAAAGAGAGGAGGCGGGGGAGAAATAACAGAGACCCAGGATTGGAGGGGGGTCTCTCTCTTAAATGCCTGCAAGGACATTTAAGGAAGGCTCCATTGGTGGTGATCAAATCATGGGATGCCCACCTGGGAAGAGTGGCGGGTGAGCTGAGGCAGGTGTCAGGCCCCAGGGAGGGGGGGATGCTGAAGCCTCTGTTAACTGGGTGGAGCAAAGCAGCACTGTCCCACCAGAGTGTCAGATCAGGGAAAAGAAGAGGGCCCTGCTCCCTCTGCTGAGTCCTAGAGACACGGGTCCAGTGGAGAATAGGGAAAAGGATTTCAGTTCAGAAATTCCTGAGGCATGCCCTTGAACTCATTTCAACTTTGGAAAAGGGAGCAAGTTCTAGTTACAGAACCTGCCCTGCCTGAGATGCTCTTGAAGGAGGCAGGACCCAGATGGGGCCAAGGTTCCATACTTATAGCTTAGGGTGGTGCAAACGGTCAAGGCCGTTTGCTTGTGTTCTGATAGATGTTATGGCCCAAACTTTATGGAGGGATGGAAGATCAAAGAAGTTTGGTGGCTTGCCTAAGTTCCTCTTCTGCTAAAGGCATAACTAGAATCACAGAGCTGCTGCCAGCTGGTTCCAAACCCATCCTGATGTTACTCCTGTGTCATCTGAAGATGCGGGTTTGAACAATACCACTTTTGAGTTTATATCCAAAGGATGCTCAATCGTGCCACAAGGACATGTGCTTAACTATGTTCATAGCAGCATTGTTTGTCCTAGCCAGAACCTGGAAACAACCTAAATGCTTCTTGACCAAAGAATGGATAAGGAAAATGTGGTACATTTACACAATAGAGTACTACACAGCAGAAAAAATAACGACATCTTGAAATTTGCAGGCAAATGAATGGAGCTAGAAAACACCATTTTGAGTGAGGTAACCTAGACTCAGAAAGACAACTATCATATGTTCTCACTCATAAGTGTTTTTTTAAACATAAAGCAAAGAAAATCAACCTATAAATCACAATCCCAGCGAACTTAGACAACAATGAGGACACTAAGAGAGACTTACATAGATCTAATCTATATGGGAAGTAGAAAAAGACAGGATCTCCTGAGTAAATTGGGAGCATGGGTACCATGAGAGAGGGTTGAAGGAGGGGGGAGAGGCAGGGAGGGAGCAGAGAAAAAGGTAGAACTCAATAAAAATCAATTTAAAAAAAAGGAAAAAAGATGCGACTCTGGTTGGCACAGAGGAACTATCAGAAAACATAATTCCCTTTCAACAGCCCTCTGTTGGATATTAAAGTTAAACAAAAATCCTATGGATTAGTGGAAAAGAGGGGCCATGCACTTGGGAGAAACTTCCCAAATATAGAACAGGCTTCCACTGGAGGCTTGGAAAAAAAAAATCAATGCAGAATACTTCTGCCTCTAGAGAATAAAAGGGATATTAAAAACAATTCCCATGTGGCTCCACAAGACAAAACTCGAGGTTGAAATCATTTGCTTGACAACTAACTAATTTAGAAGAATCAGTCACAAATACCTGAGGCAAATATCCCTCAGGCACGTACATATATTCACATCTGGAAACATAATAGGATTAGTCTCCGAGAGAGTCTGGCTGCCAGAAGGAATGCTGGGGCTAAAAGGGTTGTAGCCATAGCAGTAGAACAAATGTCTGGAACCAAGTGTGATGCTGAGACAAAATCGCCACCTCAAAGGAGGGAAAGTCAAAGGTGTTTGTGTATAGTTCATCCTGTTTCTCAAAAGGCCTTTTGTGCTTTGCTGATAGGCACAGTATCTCGGTCATTAAAGCCAGCAACAATTGTCGGAGTGCCTTGCAGCCCTGAACTGAGGGAGAAGCAGGCAAGCAACCAAGCAAAACCAACACCACACACAAAGCCCTCAGTGGTTGTGCAGTCCACTACACAAGAAGCCCTCCGCACAAAGCATAGCCTCAGCTGTATAGTGAGGGCTTGTCTCTAAAAGCCGAAGACTCAGTGGGAAAGTGTGGTGACATTTGATCCCATTGTGAGCTATTAGGATAGTAAAAACTTAATCTCTCTGTTAAACTGTGTTTATATTGTTAAAGAGCCCTCTGCAGGACAGGAACCAGTCTGCTGGGATCTGGAGATGGATCTCAGGGCTGGGGCTGGACTCTGGCACAGGGCCCAGTCACATCACCCTTTACTCCAGAGGCTGCATTCATGTTCCTCTATTCTTGACCCAAGAACCTGTAATTAGCCAAATGATCACCAAGTGCACCAGTGATGACGGATCAGAGGCAAATACCATTCTTCAGGCGTGTCTCATCTGATATGTGTGTTTATCGCAGCGCCGTTTCCAACGGTCAAGACAGGGAAACATCCTAAATGTCTGCTAATGGACATATGGATAACGAGGAGGCGACTCATCCACAGGAATAGTATTCAGCCTTGAAGAGGAGGAAATACCCTCAGTTGAGACAGCATGGACAAACCTGGAGTACCTTGCCCTCAATGAGTCAGCCAGTCCCTGAAAGACCAATGCCGCATGGCCTCTCCTCTGTGTCGAATCTACAGAAATGAAACATCCACAGCACAGAGCAGAAGGGTACCAGGATCAAGAGGTCAGGGGGAGCGGAGAGAGAGTGATGGATAGGCTCAAAGTTGAAGTTCTAAGATAAAGGGGCTCTAGAGACCCATTGCTCAGTGCTCAGCAAGGGGAGCATAGCAACACACAGGACTACAGATGCTGAGAGACCAGTGCCCCCCCTATATAGGTGTGACCCTGTCAGATGATAGTTATGCGAATTAGATTCATTGTAAATCACTGTACAGCTACATTTACCAGATTATAAACATATATATGTATAATTTGATTTGTCAGCTATACCTCAATGAAGCAGAGAAAGCTAAAAATAATAAATTAATTTTTTCAAAGGAAAGGAACAGGGCCCGTCCAGAGCACTCTGCACTGAGGTTAGAGACCTCTTTATTTGAAACATGCATACTGCAATGTGGTGTGTTTCAGCAATGGGGGCAGACAAGTGGCAGATTACAAGGTGTGTTTTGTGGTTTCGTTTGTGTAAAACAAACTGCACCTTGTCATTTTCCTGGTGTCTTAGTTACTTTTCTATTGGTAGGAAAAGACATCATGACCAAGGCAACTTATAAAAGAAAGTATTGAATTGGGGGCTTGCTCCAGAAGGTGATTTCGTAACCATCATGGCGGGGAGCATGGCAGCAGGCATAACACTGAAGCAGTGCCTAAGAGTCTATTTCCTGACTCACAAGTTGGAGGGAGAACAGAGTGGGAGAGGAGGTGGGGAGGAGAGAGAGAGAGAGAGAGAGAGAGAGAGAGAGAGAGAGAGAGATTGGGCCCACCCCTAATGACACACCTCCTCCAAAAGGCTACACCTCCTAATCCTTCCCAAACTGTTCCACCAACCAGGGACCAAGCAAATTCAGATATATGAGTCTCTGGGGAACACACTTAAACCACACACTTGGCAACAATGAGGATGCTCTAACAGGATACTGGTGACCCCCCCTTTTGCTATCAGACTATTAAAACAACAGTCCCCAGAAAACTGGAATTTCCATGGAACCTCATGTTGGGAGAAGGAAAAACATAGCCAGAGGAAACCTTGTCTTCCTGAGAGAAATGTCACACAGTTCTGGCAGTTTGTGAGGCCACTTCACAGGAGAGACTGCAGCCAAGTCAGCGATGGGTCAAGATGAGCAGGACCACTGAGCTGAGCATACCTCTGGGTTCTGTTTAAACAGGAACCTCGCATCAGGACCTCAGACACGGATCTGAGATCACTTTTCCTACTTATTTCTCCTTATAATGTGCCCAAGGTGGGTGACTCCCCTGTTCTTCATCGTTACTTGCCTGTTTAATTGTCCTAGTGAGTTCAGGCACAGAGAGGAGCTTGCCAGGGCTGCAAAGGCTCCAATCCTATGGCAACTC